ATTAGAATGGAGTTCGAGATTAGGGTGTCTTGCGACATTATTGACAGTGAAGACTTAGCGGTTTGGGTGGTGCGATTCAACTTTCTCCGTTTCTAGGTGCTTTTGTTTGATTTGCAGGTATGAGATGCTGGCAGTGGCGGCTTGAGAAAATCCTATGATGGCGGAGGCGCGGAGGTGATCTGGGTAGCGCGGTGGCCTGAGGAGAGTTTCGTGATTTGGGGGAGAAGTACAAAGGTATTAAGCCTAAAAACTACAAGAAAAACAAATTTATTACATAAATTTAGGTATTTCAATTTTAAAAGGGACTTGTCCTAATAATTATAAATTGTGTACTGTATGACAAATTGACCGAACGATCATCAAATATGACCGATCGGTTTATCCGTCATTGGTCAACCTGGTCAAATGGTTTTCAAGGGCATTGGGCCGTAATTGGGCCCAATGCGCTAATCAGCTACTTCAAATGGTATTTGGACCAATGCTTTAGTTGTTACTGGGCCAGAGGCCCAGCATAAATTAAAATGATCAAAGAATAATCAAGAATATCTGATTAAAGATATTAATAAGATTTTTAGCCAGATTTTTAGGTAAGTTTGTTAATATTTTATTCTGTTTATATTTTATTGGGCTTATGTCATTTTAAGGTCCATGAGATCACCTATAAATACAAGGTGAGGACCAAAAGTCAGGTACGCTTTACTCACACTCTACTACTCTAAAATACTCACATAGTGATAACTCTTCACTGAATATTCAATCAAAGAGCCAAAGCTCTTCCACCACACGCCTAACTTGAGCGTCAAAGTGCCTTTTGCATGTACCTCCCCCCGTCAAGAAGGAGATCGATCGGTCGATGCCAAAGACCGAACGGTTAGCATCAGGAGACCGGGCGATTGCAAGGGAGTAGGCGATCCAGATTAAAAGAAGACAAGCGATTCAAGCATTCCAGGTGGCCAAAGGCAAGGAAGACGCGTTTGAACATGTTAGTCTCTCGGTCCCGTAAATTCGTACAAAAACATTTTGGCGCCCACCGTGGGGCCGAGAGCAAGCTGAAGAAACCCAATGATGACCACGAGAAACACAGAGGAGCAACAGAGTCCACGGGAACAGATCAGAGATATGCAGTGGAAACGCTAAGAGGAGATTACAGCACTAAGGGCGGAACGGGCCCATTCCGAACGACTGCATTCAACAGCCGTCCAACCACACCATTCTGAACGGCTACATTCAACAACCATCCAACAACACCAATCCGAACAGCTACATTCACCAGCCGTCCAACCACACCAAGTCGAGCGACATCCTATTGAAACTGCAAGGAAACAAGACGAGCGCTCGGTCTCAACATCACTACGGATCAACACCAGGAACTTTCAGCAAAGCTAAAGCTACACCACATGGGTGATCATCTCTATGTGAAATATCATCAACAAGATAAGTATTTTTGAAATATGAATATTTCATATGAAAATAAGAAATCTGTCCGGATATTATTTTATACCATTGTTTGAGTTTTATGATAAACGCTAGTAAAATCTAAATATCTGATTGATAAAAGATATTATAATAACTATTTAATATAGATATTAAAGATATTAAATAGTGGCTTTGATGTATTATTTATTATATATGATATATAATATATCATATAATATATAACTATAAATATAGTTATCTAATTGTTGTAATCGAAACATTTTTTGTTTGATTAAAATAATCAGAGAGATTATTATATTAGAGATAACTATCAATAACAATAATGTTGATGTAAAAATCAGAAAGATATGCGGGCACCTTTTTTATTCAGAGGAGATTGCGGTGCTAAGGATGGAACGAGTCCCTCCCGAGCGGTCCGCCTCAAACCAACAAAATTGCAATGGTCAAGATAGAAGGGAACCTAACCCCTGCAAACTGTTTGACTTACCAAACAGAGATTCCATTCGGCCTCGCAGGTGCTCGGTCATCCGGCCTTACAAGTATTCGGCCATTTGGCCTCACAAGTGTTCAGCCACTCAGCCTTACAAGCATTAAGCCATTCGGCCTCATAGGTGCTCGGTCATCCAACCTCACATGTATTCAACCATTTAACCTCACAAGTGTTCAGCCACTCAGCCTTACAGGCATTCAGCCATTTGGCTTCACAGGTATTCGGTCATTCGGCCTCACAGGTGTTCGACCATTCGGCCTCACAGGTGCTCGGCCATTCGGCCTCATAGGTGCTCGACCATCCGGCATCACAGGTGCTCGTCCATTCGGCCTCACATGTGCTCGACCATTCGGCCTCACAGGTATTCGGCAATTCGGCCATCAGGTATTCAGTCCTTCGGCCTCAACTACTCAGCCTTCCATGGCCTCACGCTGATCGCTCTTATCCATATGACCGGAGAAAATTTAAGCAAAAATATATTACTTACAGGGTCACAAAGCATAAAACACCTACAACTCATCCGAGACACATATTAATGTGGCTTCCTCAATTTGACTTGCAAACGTTCAACCAAAGACCGAGTGGTCTTAGTTGCTTGGCCGATCGACCTTATAACATAACCTATTTTGACATTAATGCATTGGTTTGTTTGGCTACTCTTTTTCTCACCATGTAAAATTCGAGTTGTTATATTTTTTTCAGTGCAGGTGATAGGATCCTGCAAACCACAAAGCCAAGAGGTAAAGCCCTCTCACTAGGAAGTTCTCCAGAAACTCCTAGTGCACAGCCGAACGGTAAAACCCGTTCCCTAGGAAGAACTCCTAGGTCAAAGTCACAAAGCCAAGAGGTAAAGCCCTCTTAATAGGAAGTTCTTCAGGAACTCCTAGTGCAAAGCCGAACGGTAAAGCTCGTTCCCTAAGAAGAACTCTTAGGTCAAAGCCAAAGCAAAGAGGTAAAGCCCTCTCGCTAGGAAGTTCTCCAGGAACTCCTAGTGCAAAGTCGAACGGTAAAGACCGTTCCCTAGGAAGAACTCCTAGGTCAAAGTCAAAGCAAAGAGGTAAAGCCATCTCACTAGGAAGTTCTCTAAGAACTCCTAGTACAATGCCAAACGGTAAAGCCCGTTCTCTAGGAAGAACTCCTACGTCAAAGCCAAACGGTTACAAACGTTCTTTGTAGAATCTAATCTGGCCTTATAAAACGGACCGAACGGTCTATCATCAAACAGGGATAAATAAAGCCTAATAGTCTTGGACTGAAGAAGGCATGGACAAAGGCCGAACGGGCTCTCAATAAACGAATGCTGGTATAACACAACAACAGGTAAACAACTCACTAGTCATCTAACAACCCTGGACGTTAAACACCGAGCGGGTTGGTTGTTCCCGTTGTCTAGCAACCCTGGACGTTAAACACCGAGTGGGTCGGTCGTTCCCGTCATCTAGCACACTTGGACGTTAAACATCAGTCACCCAGCGACCCTGGGTAGTAAAGCTGAACGGTCATTTGCTCCAGTCACCCAACAACCCTCTATAGTAAAGTCGAACGAGCATTCACTTCATTCACTCAGCAGCCCTAGGTAATAAACCGAACAGGGGGATCTTTAACTATCTTCCTCAACCGAACGGTCCTGTTCACATGGTTCTCGACTACACGGGAAAAAGTTATGAAAAGAGCGCCCCTCAAACCACCATTCAACAAACACATAAAGGTACACTCTCCATTGCAGCAAAAACAGCCTCCCTCAAACTCGTAAGTCATCTAGTTAATCAAGGCTAAAGCCGAACGATTAAACTCGGACTTGGGGGGCATAATGTATTGTATGACATATTGACCGAACGGTCATCAAATATGACCGATCAGTCTATCCGTCATTGGTCAACCTGGTTAAATGGTTTTCAAGGGCATTGGGTTGTAATTGGGCCCACAACGCTAATCAATTGCTTCAAATGGTATTTGGATCAACACTTTAGTTGTTATTGGGCCAGAGGCCCGACATAAATTAAAATGATCAAAGAATAATCAAGAATATCTGATTAAAGATGTTAATAAGATTTTTAGGTAAGTTTGTTAATATTTTATTTTGTTTATATTTTATTGGACTTATGTCATTTTAAGGTCCATGAGATCACCTATAAATATAAGGCCAGGGCCAAAAGTCAGGTATGCTTTACTCATACTCTACTACTCTAAAATACTCACATAATGATAACTCTTCACTGAGTATTCAATCAAAGAACCAAAGCTCTTCCACCGCACGCTTAACTTGAGTGTTGGAGTGCCTTTTGCAGGTATCTCCTCCCGTCAAGAAGGAGATTGATCGGTCGACGCCAAAGACCGAACGGTTAGCATTAGGAGACTGAGCGATTGCAAAGAAGTAGGCAGCCCAGATTAAAAGAGGACAGGCGATTCAAGTATTCCAGATGGCCAAAGACAAGGAAAACGTGTCGGAACATGTTAGTCTCTCGGTCCCGTAAATTCATACAAAAACAAATGGTATTGTTAAAATGAGAAGTAGAGTTCACAGAACATGTTTGATATTAGAAAGTTTTTCTATTTTCTATAACAGGTGTAGGAAAAGATCAATTATCCATGAATTAGAAATGTTTTAGATAGTATAACTTAAAATATATTTTAAATTATGAAATTTAAAAATTAGTCACATTCTACATGTTAATCTAAAATGTACATTTTAGATTAAGTAATTAAAAAATCTAAAAATATATTCTTACGAATTACATATTTAAAATTTTGAAACATATGATAAACTATGCAATTTGAAAAAGCATTTTAAATTATGCAATTTGAAAATTTGAAAATGTATTTTAAAATACACAATTTATAATATATTTTTAAATTACACAATTGGAAAATATGTTTGAATTCTGAAATGCATTTGTAAATTACATAAGAATTTTTTTCAGATCCGAACACATATTTTGGATTGTATACCAAAACATGTTTCCTGATTCCATAAACTAAGGGTATGTTAGACATTTCACATACTAATGCAGATGCCTGAAGAAACTATAAGGTACGAAGAAAAACTATGGGCTTAAAGCCCGGTCCAAAACAGTTTTTTCTCTCCCCACCGCTCTCTCTCTTTGTTTTCTCTATCCACATTCGTTATCTAGTGAGAGTGGGACTTCTGGTGTTGCTCAACGCACACAACAATGGCGTCAGTTTCAGTCATGGCTACGAGCAGCGATAGCAGGTGGTCCATGTCTTCCTTGCGCTCTGCTTTACCCTCTCCTTCTACTCCTCCCTCTTCACTTTCCTCTTCAGTGCGCTTCTCTGTCGCCGCATCTTCTTTGTCTTCTTCAATGAAACTCCGAATTTCTCGAACCAAACCCAAATCCCTTCTCACCACTTTCACCGGTCTAACCCCTCTTAACCCCCTCTTCTTCTCCGCTCCTTCTTCTGCTTCAGGTACTCACTCACAACCACCCATTCCCCTTTCTATCTGCTTTTCTTTTAATGCGTTGCGTTGCTATTACTCGGTTTTGTTTTGCTATCTTCTTCAACAGGGTTGTGTCAATTAGACTTATTGCTTCGTTGATTTATCTTCATTTCTGGTTGATGTTTTGTTTATACTTTATCGTTTTTAAACAATTATCAGTTGTTCACAGAAAAACTCTAAATAGTTCTATGATTGAATCCGTTGTGGAGAGCATTGCATTGTGTGAGGAAAAGAGGGTTCATTTGGTGTTAGATTTATTGATTACAACTGTGAAAGGAACTTTTGGGATATTGAAATCCATTAGCATTTAGATGCTTAAGCCTTCAAATTTAGTTAACTGTTGTTATTTGTATTTTGATTTGAGTTTAATTCTTTGCACTTTTTTGCAATACTAACCAGTGATCGTAGTAAATGTAACTTGTATAATATTTATTGTTAAATTTGACAAACTCATCATTATAAAGATTTGTGATTGGGTGAACTTTTCTCTACAAATAATTACTCAAGAGTTTAGTATACATGCATTCGAAACTCTATCCACCAATCACATGGCTTTGGATATTGGAAATAAAGTGAAAATGATGCAGTATTTTTAAGTATTTCTAAAAGTACAAAAATGTGTTTTCAAATTAAGCAGTCTTTGTGGTATGGCTGGTTAAAGTGGTATATGCTTGGTTCTCCTTAATTATAGATTTTTTATTTTAAACTTGTATGTGAAAAAGACATCTAATGCGAAAGCTAGTTCCACCATCTTATGGATGTCTTTGGTTCAAATTAAATTTTCTCCTACAGACAGTGCATGTGATTTAACCATAAAAAAGTAGTCCTTGATCTGATAGGCCTCTTCCTCTTGTTGGATAAAGTGAAGAAATCATATTCTAACATTGCCTTTGAGGTTGTTCTGAGTGAATAATCTATGCTTCCCAATTGTACCCATTATACTATGAAATATAGTAGTCCTGTTTCCTTTGGCATCAATTCCAATTTCATCTCCATGTTACAGAATACACCGGCTTTGATCACTCCTTCACCATTATTGACAATGGTGGTCGAGTATTTGCCATGAGACATGGGAGGCGGGTACCCAAACTCAACAGGCCACCTGATCAGCGCCGTGCGCTTATTCGAGGCCTTACAACTCAGCTCCTCAAATATGGTCGTATCAAGACCACCAGAGCAAGGGCCAGCGCAATTAGGAAGTATGTTGATAAAATGATAACTTTAGCAAAGGATGGATCCCTTCATAAAAGGAGACAAGCCCTTGGGTTCATCTATGAGAAGCAGATTGTACATGCTTTATTTGCAGAGGTGCCAGAGCGTTATGGTGAAAGAAATGGGGGTTACACGAGAATTATAAGAACCCTACCAAGACGAGGTGATAATGCACCTATGGCATACATTGAACTTGTGTAACCATCACCTATGTTTGGGTGCTATTATCAGCAATCTCACTGCAATGTTGAGCTTGGCTATGTATCCATCGGCAACAATGATTCTACATTTTGTGTATTATGCATTTTTTATTAGTTTTAGTCTGTGTATCGTTTTGTGTATTTAATGACAAACAACAGCCACTGTGATCTGAAGTGATCATCTGCAGAAGTTCATAGATTCACTTATCTGTTAAGATTACGGATGTTTTAAGTGTGTTTGTATTTTTTATATGCTTTTTTGACTACTCTGTTTACGGGTCTTGCTGTAATAATTCTAGACACACAGCATTTCTGATATCAGGTCATTATCTGCATAAGGTCAAGTATTCACTCATGTTTTAAAAATTCAAAGGTTTGTGTATTTTTCCAGTTCTCATGTTGCATCTCTTGACTAAACTTATGGAGAAACAGTTATTAGGTAATTATAGAAGAAGAAATTATAATTTGGATTCTATTGATTTTTTGTGTTATCTTTCTAGTGTGTACCTTTAATATATTTGTAAATATAAAAAAATTAGTATATTTTGAAGACAAACAACATAACAAATTTCAGTGGACTCTGAATTTAAAAAAATATACTTTTACTAAATAAAAGTTAGTTTATATTTAAGTTAAGTTATAGAAAATATATAGTATCAACTTTTTTTTCTTCAAAATGTTGACTTTGTATCATATTAATTTTTATTTATGAAATGATTTATTTTATTGTGTTTTTTTATCTTATCACAATTTTGTCAAGAGTGAAATTTTGTTTTGTTAATAATATATGTTTTTTTAATTTATGTTAGTATTTAATTTTCATGTTTAATTTTCATGTTTACTATGGATTAATTTCATTGATATATTAGGAAATATAATTTTAAGGTAAAATTGAAATTAATATTTAAAAGATGTTTATATCCAAGTAGAAAATGTAATTTACTAGTAATCTTATACTCTTTTTAAAGCATAACTTCACTTTTTTGATATAAAAGTGAAATTGAAATGATTATTAATGATTTTACTTTTTGATATAAAAGTGGAATTGAGACGATTACTAATATATTAAAGAAGTGGAACTAGTCTTAACAAATTTTAAATAATTTATTTTACATTTCCTTATGTTCAACATTTCCTTGTGTTTTTATATATGTTTGATTGATATATGAAAAAAAAAAGTTGTTGTCATGCACAACTTCTATATGAGAGAACCATATTAATATTTATTATTTGCTATGGTGCGACTATGCACTTGTAATAGGTTTTGCCATCAATATGAACTTTTTGTTAAATAAATTAAATTAATTAAATAAATAGAATAATAAATAAAAAACATAAGGTTGTAAAGATTTTACTAAATAAATTAAATAACTAGAATAAAAAATAAAAATAAAGTTATAAACACTTCACTAAATTAATTAAATAAATCAAAACAAATAAAAAAAAGTGAGCCTACAAACACTCACTAAATAAAATTAATAAATACAAAAATAAGGTTATGAACATCTCAATGAATAAATTAAATAAACAGAATAATAAAATATAAGTAAAATAATAATAGAACATAAAATAAATAAATATAATTAAATGAAATATATAAAAATAATAAATATCTAACTTTCTTTATCTCAAAATAAATTGTTTAAGCTAAATTTGAATACTCAATATTTTAAAATCTGATTAATAATTTTTTTTAAATGAAAACAATATGTAGGCATGGAAGAAGAAAAAATATTTACATTCTTGTTCTCTCAACTATCAATTATAAAAGTTTATATTATTATTGCATTAATATTTTAGTATTTTTTTTTTCATGTTCATTTACATGTTTTGCATAAATTCACAAGTCTTTCTACAATATTATAAAATATGTATTCATTATTCATGACGTAAAAATGCTAATTTAAATTGTCTCATTCAAATAAAATAATTTTAAATTAGATTGATATAATTTTAATAAATTTGTATGTTTTAAAAATTCTAAAATTCTCTTTCCAATCCTTATCAATAACGATTAATATAGTAACATATGTTTAGTTATTATTGGATTTTTTCCACTGTTTCAAGTTTATACGAAGATCAATGTAATATAATTTTATTTAAAAAAAAGAAAATTAATGAAAAATTACATGTTAAAGAAGTGAAGTTAATTAAGTTAATTAACAAATGTTGTGGTATTATTTTAGAAGAGGAAGACAAAAAAGAGAAAGAAAGAAAAACTGACTGTGATAGAAATAAATGAAGTAATGAAGAGTCTAAAATTAAAGATATAGCATGAAACTTTGACAATAGAAGCATCACACCAAATTAAAATCAACTTGAAAACAACTTATAAATATTTATTATGTTTTAAGATTTTAATTAATTAAACAAAATTTTGGAAAATCTAATCCAATGCATTTGTGCATAAATTAGCATAACCATATTACTACTACCTTCTTAAAAAAAGTAAATGAATGGATGTAACTTGAAGGCCATCCAATTTCCACACTGCATATAAACTGTAAAGGAGAAGATGCTGTTACATGTGAATAATTAAAGTCATGATTTCCATTAACTAAACTGTTATGCTTAATTGCATTTCATGAGACGAAGATGAACAGATGTAGTAATTTAATACATTTTTAATAAGTGTTTAAGGTGATTTTCGTATTTCACGGTTATATAAAAAAATCATCATGTGGTATTCTAAATTTAGAATTCAATTCCTGTGTAGAGTATCATATCAGTCTTCACTCACTTTGAAAGCAAGCAATGGCGAAAGAAGATCAGGGACTTGCCATAGGAATCGACCTTGGCACAACCTACTCCTGTGCTGCAGTGTGGCGTGAACATCATCGTCGAGTGGATATCATTCATAATGACCAAGGCCATAACACCACTCCTTCTTTTGTTGCTTTCACAGACCATGAAAGGTTGATTGGTAATGCTGCTAAAAACCAGGCTGCCACCAATCCACAAAACACTATCTTTGGTATATTTTCTACTCTTTCAACTATTAGTGCATTCCTTGTATGATTATTTCATGTAATTTTTTTATCTTAACGAGGTGAACATTTTTGTAAAACTTTTCAGATGCCAAGAGGTTGATAGGTAGAAAATACAGTGATCCTGTTGTTCAGAAAGATATGATGTTATGGCCATTCAAGGTTGTTGCTGGTGCTAATGACAAACCTATGATCACCCTTAACTATAAGGGTAAGGAGAAACAATTTTGTGCTGAGGAAATTTCATCCATGGTCCTGGTGAAGATGAGAGAGATTGCAGAGAGCTATTTGGAAACCAGGGTGAAGAATGCGGTGGTTACTGTGCCTGCTTATTTCAATGACTCTCAGCGTAAGTCTACCATAGATGCTGGAACCATTGCTGGCCTTAACATCATACGTATAATCAACGAACCAACTGCTGCAGCTATTGCATACGGTCTTGACAGAAGGAATAATTGTGTTGGAGAGAGAAACGTTTTCATTTTTGATCTCGGTGGTGGTACTTTTGATGTTTCTATCCTAACGATTAAGGGTAAGATGTTTCAAGTTAAGGGAACAGCTGGAAACACTCACCTTGGAGGAGAGGACATTGATAACAGAATGGTGAACTACTTTGTGGAGAAAATAAAGAAAGAAAAGAAGTTGGACATTAGTGGAAACCCTAGAGCGTTAAGGAGGTTGAGAAGTGCCTGTGAGAGGGCCAAAAGGACACTATCACATGCTGTCAGTGCCACAATTGAAGTAGATGGTTTATCTAATGACAATGACTTTTTTTCTTCAATCACTCGTGCAAGATTTGAGGAAATCAACATGGAGCTATTTAACCAGTGTATGGAGACAGTAGATAGGTGCCTTGCTGATGCAAAAATGGAGAAGAGAAGTATGCATGATGTTGTTCTTGTTGGTGGGTCTTCTAGGATTCCCAAAGTTCAAGAATTATTGCAAGATTTCTTTGAGGGAAAGGATCTGTGCAAAAGCATAAACCCTGATGAAGCTGTAGCCCATGGTGCTGCTGTGCAGGCTGCTTTGTTGAGTGTAGGTATTAAGAATGTTCCAGACATGGTGTTGCTGGATGTAACACCGTTATCACTTGGTATTCATGTAATGGGAGATATGATGAGTGTAATGATTCCAAGGAATACTACTATTCCTGTGAAGAGGACGCAACAATATTTGACAAGTGTAGATAACCAATCATCTGTTAAAATAAAGGTTTACGAGGGTGAGAGAACAAGAAGCAGGGAAAACAATTTGTTGGGTTCTTTTAAACTTTCTGGCTTTCCTCGAGCTCCTAGGAACCATCCTTTTGATGTGTGCTTTGCCATAGATGAAAATGGTATACTATCTGTCTCTGCTAAGGAAGAAACAACTGGCATCAGCAATAAGATGATCATAACCAATGACGTAGATCGACTGTCAGCGGAAGAAATCTATAAAATGATTCAAGAAGCAGAGGAATACAAAGCTGAAGATAAGAAATTCCTTAGGAAGGCCAAAACAATGAATAAAATTGATGACTATGCTTACAATATAAAGAAAGCTTTGGAAAAAGAGAATTTCAGTTCAAAAGTTTGCTCAGAAGACAGGGAAAAGATCAGTTCTGCAATAACTAAGGCCACAGAGTTACTTGATGGTGATCAGCAGGATGAGGAAGTAGATGTGTTTGAGGATCATCTGAAAGAACTTATTAACCTCTTTGAACGCTTTGTTGAAAAGTCTGATTAGGTGTTTTTTAGCTTAGAATTTTGTTGTGCTGAATTGTTATTTTATGTTTGATGAATGCAAACTTTTATGTGGAAAAATGTGGTTTTGTTAAAGCTTTTGGACAATGGAAGATCGAATTAAATACACTTGTTTACAAGAATAAAATTCTCAAAATACTTTTATTTTATGCAGAACTCATACCGGATGAAAAATAAAGTTTATTTAACCACTTGAATTAAAAGAAAGAGTTGATTTACTTTTATTATTAGAATCACATATTTAGAATTTTAGTTATTACTTTATGGATAAGTTGTGTGGCATTTATGTTCCTGGTTGATCATAATTTCTGATTCAATTTCCCCAAATATACGTACAAAAAATGTTGCTTCTGCTACACCACTGTTAATTAGAGGGTGTTCGAAAAGCTCATGTAAATTTTATCTGAATTTATGATTTTTAACGAGTATTTTTAATTTTATTTTTAATAAATTTGTAATCAAGTTTACGATATTAAATTTTGTTCTGGTCTTTACAAGACTCGCCTAACATAGTCACACTCAATGATAAAAAAAATTAGTTTTATTTTATTTGTTAAATTTTCAAAAAAGTATTACCAATACCAAAACTACTTTCATTACTGTCGACAAAACAATATTCATAATATTTAGTACATAATTAATGAAAATATGTAATAAAGTTACTACTTCTATTTAACTATGCAATTTAAAGTTATTGCATGTTTTTTTTATGAAAATAACTTCACCTTTTTATGTCAATTTGAAATTTTCTATATAACTAAATCCATAGATATCTTGAAACCGAATGAGTATTTTTTTTTCACCTAGCTAACACACACTTATGTAAGAAGATCCTAATTAATTTATGTTTAGGTAATGGTGTTTTATAAGGTAGTTTCAAGTATGAAAATAAATTCGTTATTGTTAACACCTCTAGTTTATGCCTTATTACTATATCAAATGTAAAATATTAAAATTTGAAAACACGATCCGTATGCATATTTTTTCTTTTTCTTTTAATGAATAAAACCGATTATAAATAATATTTTAAATGAATCTGTTATATCTACAATTCAATTGATCAAAATAAAAAGTAAGAAATATATAAAATAATGAATTAGACAAGAACATAAAACTTCTCAAATATGAAGATAGTAAAGAAGATTAATATTATAATTATTTTATTTGTTATGTACCCAAACTAATTGTTTTAAATTTTTTTATTATAATAATATAATTATATGGAAACTTAGGTAATTAAATACTTAGGAAAGTAACCAGGAAGGGAAGTATCATAGGTAGATTTAGATAACTAGATAAGGTTGTCGTTGATATCTCTTAACTTGTCCCATTATCCACTGTCGATGCGCCATTCGCAGCCTTCATTTCTTCTTCTAAGCCCTCAGCACAAACGTACTCTCTCTTTCTATCTTCTCCCAACGTAAGAGATTCTGAGAAAAAGGAAAAGTTTGGAAGAAGAGTGTTGAGGGAACAAGACCACGATGCTTGGTATGGCCACCCTTACTTTGGGTTCATCAACCGCAATGGTGGCTCAGAACCATGCTCAACAACACCATGCCACCACTCTTGCCTCAGCCAATGGACACAGAAGGCGCAGTGTTTCCAACAGGACTTACTCCTCTCCCATGAGTTTGAGCTTCACTTTTCTCTCTTCCTTCAAGGAATCACCACCTGCACGCCCCTTCACCACAGCTGTTGCATCTGTTGATTCTGACCAGCTCAACTCTTCTGATCCTCCCACCAAGGTTTGTTCCTCTCTCCCACTCCAACCCCACATTGAATTTGTGCTCAATTTTTTTTTTCAGTTTTGATGTTTTTCCTTTGTTATGTTATCCTGAGTTGTTCTCTGCTGAGGGGTGTTATCCTTGTAACCAGAGAAACGCCTGATAGTGTAGTTTTTGAATTGGTTTTGATGATAATTGCTTTATAAGAAAATATGCGATGGATTGTCATCTAATCACAGATGATCAATTTGTTAAATTTGACCACAACTACCTTAAAAAGTCACATGTAGGGTGATTTGATTAACATTGTTTTACACTGTCCGAGCATTACAATTAACTTTTGTTTTTTTTTTTTTTTTGGCTTGTCTTCTGCAGAATGAAGCAAACAAGTATTATTTTGTTGTTGCAAATGCAAAATTTATGTTGGATGAGGAGGAGCATTTCCAGGAGCAATTGTTTGAGCGGATCCGTCTCTTTGGGGAGCGTAATCAAGAACAGGATTTCTGGCTTGTCATTGAGCCTAAGTTCTTGGATAAGTTCCCTAACATTACCAAGAGGTTAAAGAGACCTGCTGTTGCTCTTGTGTCAACCAATGGTACCTGGATCAAGTAAGAACACCAACTCTTCATTTTTCAGTGATTGATTCTATAAGTGCTTTAAGCTATGGAGTATAAATGAAAATATGATGATATCATAAACTATGAAAGGAGGGAAATCTTTCCATATTATATGTAAGTTATGTGTGTCTCTGAATGTTTTCATACAGTGGATTGGATTGGAAGCCATTCTATGTAGACAAATCCCTAGCCACCTATGATCGACAACCTAATCTAAGCCTATGTGGGAAAATAGATGCTATTTTATATGCTTGCATCATGGTGATTCTCACTTCTCAAGCAAGAATTGATCATTTTGCTTTTTTCTTTATTTCACAATCTTAAAGCTGCCAGTTGTTAAATGTGGTAAAAGGGTGGGTTTCTATATATTTTCCTCCCTTTACTTTTAGTGTTTGTGTTCTGCTGATAGGATCTCCACCGTTTCAAATGATATAACATGAAATAATGGTGTAAGAAAGAAGCAGTGTTTGATCAACAAAATTGCTGCAATGAAAATCCTCAAAATAGCATCAAATGTCAGTTTATAATGCTTCATCCACTTTGTAATTCTGTCCCTATGTATGTTTTGGACTTTTGGCAGGTTCATGAAATTGAGACTGGACCGAGTTTTATCTGACAGTTTTGAAGCTGAGAGCCTAGAAGAAGCATTAGCTTTCACTCCTACTGATTTGAAGTTTGAGAAGCCTGAGAAATGGGTGGCACCCTATCCCAAATATGAATCTGGATGGTGGGAACCCTTCTTGCCCCCTGTTCAGAACGAGGTGAAGCCTTAAGATAGTCTTTATCAACACTGTTTCAGTGCTTGGTAGTCTTAAATCTTTTTCTCTAATGTTTCTGTTCAAGTGCAGCTGGATGGTAGTTAAAGAAGGCTAAATTTGCATTCAGTTTTGTATTTTTGGGAGGCAGTATGATTATTTAAGTTGAAGTGTTTCCCTTAGGATCTAAGTTGTAGGAATTGCATTTTATGTCTATCAAATGAGCTAAGTATGTATATTGTTATGAGATTGATGTTCTCTGTTTCTAGAAATGTATGTGAAGGCGTGCAACTTAATATATTTTTTTTATCTTTTGAATAGACTGACTTCTAAGGCTCCCAATTTTACATTATTTAAAGCTTGCTTGTGAGGCTTGAAATAACAATTCATCAAATGAACTTACCTCAAATGTACTCACTTTATACCTTTTTTGTCCATTAGTATGTTAAGGCTTCCTTAAAACATTCAGAGCCTTGTCCAATCACCATCCACGGCCCCTTAAAATTCTGAACCTGAATAACCCTATATCTAAAATCAAGGGTCTGCCAAGAAAACCAAGGTTTAATGTACTTTAAATAAGTCCCACCATGCCACATCACTTTTAAGCAACTCATTGTATTTTTACTAGTTTTGCTGTAATGGCCAGATTTTATAAGAACCCACACTTTTATAATTTTGTATTGCACTTCAATTTTTTATGTCTTCAAAATTAATTTAATTCTTGAAACATTGTTTTTTTATTGTTAAGACCTAACTATTAATTTTAAGACTCTCACTATTGCAGTAAAAGGCAAAGCTTTTTCCTTTCATTCTAACTTTAAATACTTCCTTGCCTGATGAATCTTTAATCATGCAGTTTTTGTCTTCAAACAACACCTTATAACCTTTTTCAAGCAATTGAGGAACACTCAACAGGTTTTGGTTAATTTCTAGAACATATAAAACATCTGAAATCAGTTTCAAACCTGTTTGACCTTCAATTGTCACTGTTCCTTTGCCTTTTACTGCAATATATGCTCCATTACCTACTCTGACTTTAGAAAGTGAAGTTTTGTCAAGTTCTTTAAAGAGTTCTCGATCATAACTCATGTGGTTTGTGCAACCACCGTCTATTAGCCAACTTTCTGTGGAGCTATTGGTAGTGAAGCATGTAATAGCAAACAATTGTTCCTCTTGTGGTTGATCCTCAACAACCTTAACTTCTCCTTGTTGTTGATGATACTTGCAAATCTTTTCCATGTGTCCTAGCTGCCCACACTTATAACACGTTGCATCCGATCTCCACCAACACCTTTTTTGTGGATGATTGGTTTTCTTACAATGAGGACAAGGTGGAAAAACCTGAGTATTATTACTCTTGTTGTTGATCTTGTTTAATCTTCTAGGTCTGGTATCATTGTTCTGCTTCTTCTTGTGTTTGTTGCCATTGCTCTGGAATTTGACTTGAAAAGCACCCTCCACAGATCCTTCTTGCCTCATAAGTCTTCTTTGCTCTTGGGCTTGTAAGGCACGCAACACCTCTGCCAAAGTGATCTTAGATAGATCCTTTGTGTTCTCCAAGGTAGCTATAGAAGCTTCATATCTCTCTGGTACTGATACAAGAATTTTTTCAACAATTCTTGAATCAGAAAAAGCGGTGTCCAACAATCTTACTTTGTTGGCTATGCCAAGCAACATATTTGAGTACTCTTTGATGGTGTCAGATTCTTTCATTCGTTGCAGCTCAAATTCTCTCATTAAATTCAATACTTGCATGCTTCTAATTCTCTCATCTCCTACATATTCTTCCTTCAAGTAATCCCAAATTGCTTTTGCTGTGCTGTGAGACATGATCCTGGTGAAAATTAGTTTTGAAACACCAGAAAATAAAGATGTCTTTGCCTTTGCTTTCCAGGTTTCTTTTTCCTTGTAGTTTTTTATTTGGGCTATACTAGGGTTGTCGGACAACAGAGCAATATCGTAATCCTCCTCCAGTGCTTCCCAAAGATCCAAAGCCTCTTGGAAGTTCTGCATTTTGTTGGCCCAGAGATCATAGCTATCTCCATCAAAGATAGGAGGAGCAACTTAAGAGAAACTTGTTTCAATATCCATTTTTCAGGTCCCGTAAGATGTAACTCTGATACCAATTTGTAGGTTATTTTATTGAAAAAAAGTTTGAGAGAGTGGAACAAAGAAATATAAAACTGCATAGGTTTATTTAATTGAGGAGTGTTATTGTTTTTATAAAGCAAATAACTGAACGTAATTTGTTCTACCCTCCAGTAATTGTATCCAACTTCCATAACTTCTGTCTCCTTATGTGAAACAGCACAAACTGAATGGGGACGTAATAAAATAAACTCCATAATGGCTTGACAGACTGTAATACTTAGCATAAAAGATAGGTTATCATTAGATGACTAAAGGTAGTTTCTCAGGGGATGCTCCTATTTTTATTCTTACAAGATCCACTGTGGTACGAATAATAGCAGAAAAAAAGCCAAATAAGTGTTGGGCTATTTGATTTCATACGGAGGTCTGCAAATTTTATTATATATGAAGTTGAACATGTTCACGAGTAAATTCAACAGTGTGGAAATTGGTATTACTTTTCATGTGTTATATGTCTAGACCTATCCTTTGCCTATTGAAGATGCCATTTTCTTACAGAAAGAAAAATGGTCAGATATATTTCTTTAGTGTAATGAAGTTATGCTTCAAAGAAAGAAGGACCACTAGGTTTCTTTGTAGTTCACGAAGTGGAACACTTTCTGCATTTCTTGAAGGTTGTAAAGCCATTCCCATGATTCATTCCTTCCATGAGTCTGCCAGACATCAACTACAGCCTGCCTCTGTTATGGTCTACTAGACATTGCTGTTACCTTCCTCAATGTCAGACTAGATTCTTCTTCTGAATGATGTTTCTTTATATTCACAAATATTGGCCTTGCTAACAAGAACAACTGTTCCCTGGATGATAGTCAAATGCTCATTATCCTGCCTTTCAATCAAAAACAGAAAAAGTAAACGTTAATATGTAAAACTTTTTGGTATATATATTGGTATGGATACATTATATCATTAATTGTGAAGCAAACTAAATTATTCATTTAGATTTGGTTTCTTAAAAGACGACAGAACAGGTTGTAAGCAATTTCTACAGCGCTTTTGTTTTCTATTTAGTTTTTTTTTTTTTCTATGGAAACATTTGAAACCCAGTACTACAAAGTTTCCAATGAATTTTGAAATAAAGCAAACGCCAAGCAAATGAGTGACACTAAATTGGACATATTCTGCATGCAAGAGGCGAAGGACGATCAAATAGTACACCAAAAGGAAATATATTATGATGATGCGCATGGTTACTGAAGCCTGTATCAGTAACCAATAGCAATCGAGTATGGAAAATGGTTCTTGCACACTAAATGGTTAACCCTGCACAAGTTTTTTTGGTAGCAATAATAATCGATTTCTTAAGATCAATAATCAAATTATATTCCCCCCATTATATTTCTGTTAATCACATAATACGTGTTAACCACAAGTTTGTACATAGTTAATCGATGCCATGGCATGAAAAGGAATTTCATTACTTCTAATCCTCAATGTACTCTTGTGAGTTTTGCGATTTCCCGAAAATCTTCATCATCAAATTTTCATATAGATTATTAAACTCAAACAGGACCCTCTCAGCAAGGATGTCAATAATATCCCCATGCTTTTCATATACCACTGGAACTATCAGCAATATCACGGATGCTGCGCCATCAAAGCAAAGGAGAAAAAAGATTAGTACTAACTTGCACTTAAGTAGAATCACTCAATGTTTCATTGCTGTGATAAATATATGCATAAATTTGGTAGCTGACCTATGTAGATTAGAGTTGCAGCAGGGTACCGATAGTCAAGAAATGAGATAGCTCCTAATGTCCCTGTGACCTGCAGATTACTTTCTTGTCAGATAAAACCAAATAGCATTTTGACAAGCTGAGTACACAAGGTTAGGAACATGCTGAGAAGCACCAAGAGAAATTTCTTCAAATCTTGTCCGGAAGCTATGACCCCAAATGTCATGAGTAGATTATTAAGTATACGTGTCACCGAAATAGCTGTACTGACAAGCAATCCTTTGGGTAAGAGGAATGATGATAATTCAAGTGGTGGTAATCTGTATCAACAGGAAGATAGCATCATTCCTTGGTGTAAAACAATAATCTAAATAAGTGTGCAGACAATGAAAATATGCAGGCAACACAATATGAAGAGATAGGGAAAAACAAATTCTCATATCACCAAGCCCTCTAGACAGGGACTTGTCGGTTCATTCACACTAGTTGTAAAAATATTGTTCTTTGATGAAAAATAGGAAAATAAATGGATAAGAGGAAAATGATATAATCAATAATCCGTTTTACTTTACTGATTTGATGATATTGTCACACACATTAAGTGAAACTAGTGTCAAGTCACATCACAAAGAACAAGGAAACCAATAAACTAACTCAAGTTGCTTCTTGAAGCAAATTTGGCGGCTTTTTGAAACAAAGTTGGCAGAAAGTCTCAATTTGGTCTTTTATAAAACAAGAATCACACTGCTTTAACAAGGCAATTTGATTTGTCTGTGACAGATATGATAATAAGGGCAAGCGAGAAGAGAACTAAACAAGAAATATTTTAATATCTATCAGTTATCCCATTGTTATATCCTACCAAAGATAAGAACCAACACCTGGATGTGGTGGTAAGTCTTGAATTGGCACAGTACTGAAGTTATAGGTATAGTTGTATCATTGTAAATTGTTACTCCAAAATTAAGTATGAATATAACAGGAAAGATGCTACAAATGACTAATTAAAGAAATCTTTAATCAAAGGAAAAAAAGCAAGTTAATATTAAAAATATATCTTGAAAGTTAATATCAATTTACTAATAGCAAGTTACATTAGCTGGATTAAGAGCCTTAAAATAGAGAAAACATGCTATAACAACTGACTGATAGAGTGAATTAAACTCACATGCGAATGAAGGATGTTAAAAGGCTCCGTAGGAATAACATTGCCACCAGAAGTATGAGAGAGTCACAAATGAAACTAATCACGGTGTAATCCATCCTCTTGAAAAACAACCATATGAAAGTTACACCAACAAGAACGCTTAATGAGATCTTCTTGTTCCTCCAGAGTATAATATCAGCAACTAAGAAAAAAAGAATCCAAGGCTTACAGTAAATTCTACCTTTTGCAAACTGTTGTGTAAAATGATACCGTAATTTCTAATTCACACCCTCAAACTATGTTAACAGATTCAATGTGATTTTTGCAACACAAATGAAATTTACAAATTATGTCATGTACTAAGAAATGATGTAAAAAAAGCCAGAGGAGCATACTCAGTCCAGAGCCTAGGGTAACACGAAGAGGTATTTTCCTGCCAAAGAATCTGTTCTTGGCAGTGGAGAATACAAAATATCTCTCCAAATCAGTCTCAAATTCAGAGTCTTCATCATCGAATTCTTTGTTACTGAGTAAATCCGAGTCCGCAACATCCATGACTTCTTTTGGTTAAGGTATTATTTTTCCTCCTCTTATATACATACACGTATATATGTTGGATCCTTTCTTAATGTTCTTATACAGTGTAACCTGTAAAGAATGACATTTCAAAAAAAAAAAACAATGACATGCATTAACAAAATATTAATTAATCAATGTTACAAATATGTTCATTGCATGAACAAATGAAAAAGGTTGATTCAATTATGACAAATGCACAAGTATTTGCATGCTGATGCGCAGAAATTCAAAGTCTGTAAGATAAAATATACAATTTCTTACTATCATGAATCAATAAACAGTGGAGAGTTTATCCTTTTCGAGATTTCTTCTTTTCAAGAATACGTGGATTCATTTTGGAGAAACTCTGTTTTCTACCCCCTGCATTTTTACAAATCTCAGAGAACCTATATACACCCTAATCCACCCCTTAATATTCTCATGAAAGCAATCAGACTTTAAACTAATATTATTTTCCCTTTTGTTTTTATTTATATAATTTTTTCTTTTTTGAAATTAACTTATTTTTTTATGATATTTATCTATAATGAAATAGTTACTTTTTGTTTCTAGTTCTTTTTATCTATATATTAGGGAAGATAAATATTCATTTTGTATCTAGAAATAAATATTTTTAATATAATTTTTTATTTAGTTAAAATAAAATAAATATTATTAAGAATAAAAATTCAAAACATTTTCTTTAATTAAGTTTTAAAACTTTCTTTCCACACAGATTAAAGAGAAGGATAATAAAATCTTTCTTCCCAATCATATAGTTTTCTTAATTTAAAGGTGTATTCAATTGGAGATGGATTTAAGAAAGAGAGAATGTAAGAATGTAAAAAATTGAGTGTAAATTGAATGTTGTTTTGTTTATGATATTTAGAGGCCAGAGTGAATTTTGAAAAAAGTGTTTGTAAAAGTTATTTTAAGATTTGATTGAAGATAAAAAAAATATTTTAATTAATAAAAAATAAAAATTACAAAAATGTTGTTAGTGATAAAAATAATATAAAATGATATTTACTAATAATATATTTAATGGTAAAAGTTATTATAAAAAGAAAAAAAATCAAATTTTTTTAAAATAAAATAAATTTATATTTAAATAAAGTCAAATAATTATGAATAAACTTTTTAAGAATATAATTTACTTTAATTCATGTTATTGATGTGAGTGAATACTGTAGCAAACTATTTTATATTTGAATATCAATATCATTATATATTTATAACCCTAGACATGGAATAGATAATAAGAAATCATGACAACTATTAGAATCGAATAAAGGTTTCTGAAATCGATTGCACCATGTATTATTATCCTCAAATTTTGATAATTATGAAATGGTGCGAGGACAAACATTACAATTTATCACAAATCTCTTAAATTATAATAATTCAGCTATGAATAAAAAAAGGAATGAATCTGCATTTTCTCGTTTCAATTTTTGTCTTAAATCCATTCAAGCGAATCAAAAGGATTTCTTCCTTTAATTATCGGACTGTGGGCTTGCCTGTCACGGCCCGCAGGTTGCTCGACGGGGCAGTAAATGTGCTGTCCGGATTGCGTTAGTTAGTTGGCTGAAATCTCTGATTTGATCAGCTTATTTTGTGCCGGTTAATAGACTGAATAGTTGTCTGATCAATTATTTTTTACAACGTCCTACCATATATAAGTTTAAATTTTTCTTTGTTATGCAGACATCTTTTTTCCTAATTTATTCATTTATTTTAGACAGATTTATGAAAGTTATTAAATAATGTTCTTTCAGGATCCAATATCTCTTCAAAGACTTTTTTTTTAGACCTCTGCACATTTAGATATTCGGTTTTCGTCCTCAACACTCCACAGACTACTACAAAAGATCATACAAAAAGGTTTGTTGACGTTCAATAATAATTTATTAGAGCTCTGACATTAAATCTTAATTAATATAAACCTTAATTAATATAAAAAGTAAAAGTAAATTGTTATTAATATTGTATTTATAGTATTTTAATTTTATTAACTAAGATTTCAACTAGATAAGTCATACTTATGTGAGTCATCAACCCAAAAATCTTCTAATTCAATTATCTATTTCAGGTCTAATAACGAGTTTTAATCGATCCATTCTCTAAGATATCAGTACTATGTTTCCAGACTAGGATATCCAATCTCTGGTGCCCAATATGTCAATATGACTTAGTACTAATAAAGAGTAAAGAGCCTTTAGCCCAGTATAAATAACAAACATCATCATATTATAAATTTTATAAAATCAAACAATTTGTAATCTTTGAAACAACTCTCACTACAAAAAATGTTGATTTTAACGTAGGTTTATTGACAGAGGTTATAATAACCTCCAGTAATGGATACACGTAGCAGAGGTTTTCAAACCCCTGGTAAGTTTTGGAGGTTTTATAGAGATCCCTAGTAAGTTACAAAGATTTTCAGAAACCCTGATAAGTATTTGAATTTTTTTTTATGATTCCCCAGTAAATTTTTTTTATGATAAGTTTCGTATTGGGTTTTAAATTGGGGGAAAGTTCTAGAGCTTGCAGAGCACATGGGTACCGTAGAGATAGGACGAATTGTTTTATCTACGTTTGGAAAACCCTTGGTTTTGTGTTTTCCAATTCATTGTATTGTCTAAATTATCCTCGTTTTTAGACCATTATTAAATTCGAGAAGCAAACACATTTTTAAACAACTGCTTTTTTATTTGCTCATAACATATAATTAAAATTAATGTTAAGGTTTGAAACTTTTACTAGCTATTTTGAAACTGCTGTTATTGGATTTAATTCTTGACTTATCTTTTAATCACTGTTATAAAATTGTTTTATTAGAAATGGTGCATGATATAAATGAAGTTTTTCTGATTTTGTTACAGGTACCTATAGCCAATGCTATACTTTTCTATGGTGACCGAGTCCAAGGGTTACATAAACTATACGAAATCTGGTTCTTCCATCAATGCTTGAGTTAATGCTTGAGTTAATGAAGCTTTTGATGTCTATAGTGATTTCATACGTCCATGAATGTATATATTGAAATGTTCATTAATTTCACCTTTTAAACTTTATTGTTTATCATTTTTTATTCTCTCAACATTTATGTGTAGTAAAGAAAAGAAATAGATGAAATTGGTGGTTTGAAATCCGAAGAAAAAACATTAAAAAATAATGACTTACGTTGTAAGGGTTTGAAAACCCCAAGTAATATGGGTTTGAAATTCCTGAAAAGCTACGGGGGTTATAAACCACAAGAAAGCAGCTTTTTCAGAGGTTACTAGAAACGGTGGTTAATTGTTAGTGACGCTGATTTTACTTGAGAAAAGTCAAATCGTGGGTAACACACTTAATAAGAGTTAAAACCTAGAAACACTAAATATAACCCTAATTAAAAATAATTTTTCTTTTGTAGTGTCTAATATTTAATATGTCTAAGTTTTGAATTTGTAAACTTTGACTGTTTAGTAAAACTATGCATTAAACTACTAAGACCCCATTACTCATCATCCTATGTAAAATCACTAATTTATAATTTCTTTGATACTCATAAATACTTTGAAGTGTGTCTCTTCGGTAAAATTAAGGGAGAAATTTCACATATTAGAATTACATTTGTTAAATTATTACAAAAGATGACAATAGAATTTAATAACGTAAAGATTAATATACAGTGATAATAGATTCACATGCCTACACTCATTTGACATGATTTTTAGGATTTAATAACGTAAAGATTAATATACAGTGATAATAGGTTGACAGATCTACACTCATGATTTTTTTTACATGATTTTTATAATAAGTAAGAGAATGAGAAATAATGTATACACTTCTAATTCCACCGCGATATAATTGGAAGTTTGTCTCATTCTAACACGACTTATGATAATCTGTTGTTAAACATGCTTGGAGTTTATAACATCCTGACACAACTTATGATCATATGTTGTGAGACACGTTCACGATAAGTGCTTTTATTGCTTTTCTTCTATAAGTTGAAATAGGAAACTAGTGAAACAAAATAGCGGCCTTATTTTTGCATTATAAGATTTCATGCATCATAACACGAACACATTATGCTTAGAAAACTTATTTCACCAAAATGATAAATCTCTTAGCAGAACTTCTACTGAGAAGCAACAGTTCATAGTTTTTTGACCAAGATATTGACTCCATGCTCAGGCTCTACGAGCAACCTGAGAGTGGGCGAATGAATGTAGCGTGGAGAGAGTGAGAAAGTGAATTTGGACAGTATGAGAGCTATGATCATCTTAAGTTCCACAATAGCCAAGTTCTGTCCAAGACACACTCGTGGACCAACCCCAAAGGGCATGTACACGTGTGGCAGCTTACAACAGCCTGTGGTTCCATTGGCAAATCTTTCTGGCTTGAATTCGTAGGCATCATCTCCCCAGATATCTGGATTTGTATGCAAACTCAATACCATTACCCAAATATTAAGCCCCTTAGGAGCATCAAGGTTCCCAAATTTCATGTCCTCCAAGGCCTCTCTTGACATCACAGTCACGGGAGGATAAAGCCGCAATGCTTCATTAATAACCATTCCTAGCTGCCACAACAAATTAATGCAAGTTATGCTTCATGCTATTTTCAAATTTTCAACATCTTCTGAAGATAATATACACTGTAATATCACTGTGAAAAATTGTTAAGCATCGGAATTGTTTCTGTTAGCATAGCAGCTATTGCTTTGTCTAACAGAAATCAACTTGATAGAAGTTTAGAGTTATTAGTTTGAAGTATCATATTGTTGGTATAGAGTAGTTAGAATTTGTATAAAACAATTTATGTTAGCTAAAGGATATATCAATGGGAAGGTTAACTCAATGTGAAACCACAAGTATATGAGTTGTTTTTGTAATGTATGCTGCCTAAGGATCCTTACCTGCTTCATCTTACCAAGCATACTAAAATCTGGGATTCTACCACTGCAAATTTCTGTGACCTCAGCACGAACACGATCTTGCCAATCTGGGTTTGCGGCCAGCAGCATCAGGCACCATGTAGCAGAAACTGCAGTTGTCTCATAGCCTGCCAAGTATATATTCTTGCAGTTATCAACGATAAAATTGTCAATGGCCTCTTTACTTAGCTTAGTGTCCTTAACATTTTCAAGAACCACTTGCAGCAAGTCCTTCTCAAAACTGGTTTCCTTTCTTTCCTTCACCACCTGGAGTATCATATCTTTCACCTCCTTTTCTAATGTCCATATTTCTCTATTGGTCTTTAACGGAAGGTAGCTGTAACATGCACACGTAAATTAATCATAAGTTGAAAAAAGGAAAGGACAATTATAACAATATTTTATGAGCCATAAGGAAAATCTGTATTGCACCTCATGCCAGGGATAAGTCTGAACATATTTTT